CTATACAGTAACGGTGCAGTTAACGTTACTGTATAGCGCCACTATTTGTGACGTTATATATAGTTTGGTAACTTTTTTTTTCTTACACTTATTTGAGTATTTTGAGTAAAAATAAACCGCATTTTGGTTCCGCAGTAAAACTTAGTTTGATATGACTAAGATATAACGTGTGACTTGCTACTAGTCTACACCGACCATATGAAAGCTAATTTGGCATTTTCAATTCCAGTCCAAATAACTCAACCTTGGGTTTGCTACTATCGTTTCGGTTATTTCCCAATTCCCACCAAACAGGCGTAACCATAAATAGTTAATTCATTAAATATATATAAATATTTAATTATGAACTCAATAATTAAAACAAGTTACAGGTTCGATGACATGTTTAAAATTCATAAACTTCATATCCTAACTCCTTCCATCCACCACCATACTGTTTGATGGTTTATTTTGTAACATCCTAGCTCACTAGTGATATTTTCTGCTTTGAGCCTAGACCCACACAGGTTTAATATGCGTCACTAGGATCTAAGGCATGCTCCTTTATATACTCAGCATATCTCCTGTGTTTTGCCGATGTGAGACTCGCCTAGGCTATTACATACACCCCCATTAAGGACTCAGCATCCTTGTTGAGATTTGCCTCACCTTACTGGGATTTTGCTTAAACTCAGTTGAACGTTGAGGTTTGTCCTATCATTGCCCAAGGTTGGACCGAAGTAGCTCTAGTACTATTTGTAACAACTCAACCCATTAATGATATTGTTCACTTTGAGCCTAGGCCTTCACATGTTTAATACACATCACTATGGTTTAAGGTAGGGGTGTACATAGGTCGGGTTGGTTCGGATTTTACAATTACCAAATCAAACCAATTGTGTCAGGTTATTAAATCTAAAGACCAGGCCAAACCAATAAAACTCGATTTGATTTGGGTTATTCGGGTTTTTTCGAATTTTTTTCTCGGATTTTTTCGGATTTTTTTTCCGGTAAAATCTTCGTAGAACAAAACATATAATTTGTGCTCAAAATATTTCTTTAATATAACTATATACAACTATATAAAGTATTTTCCAAGAAAATAATACAAAATAAAAGATGTGTCATGGTATTATCCTAAAATATTCAACAATAAAGACAATAAAATTATGTAATATAAATATTGCTAATTAAAAAGCCACAATAAAAATAAACATAATCTAATGTATTCATGCTAAAATAAGTAGACTAATAAGGGGGTATTAATTACATGACTAAACACTAAAGAAAAAATAAAAATAGGCTATGCATTTTTATTTAAATTATTGCAAAACAAAAAATAGATATTCAATACATTCTCATTTGTAGTATTGAACTTAATGTCTTTTGTTAGCATTAATATTGATTTGATTTTGGTTTCGGCTTTTGTTAGCATTATTTAATGTACTAATATTAATGGCTATAAAACTTATTGGAACATTCAAAAGTTCTAAGTCCAACCTTGAAATAATACCTTAAAAGATAAAATTATAAATTTTTTTAAGAAATATTTATAAATTACATCACAATAAGTATATTTATATAGTATTAAATATATCTAAAATTTCTATATATGTAATGTCGGGTTGATTTGGTTTCGGTTTGACTTTCTTTAGTTAAAACCAAACCAAACTAATTATGGTCGAATTTTTTTTCCAACACCAAACCAAATCAAACCAAACCATAGTCGAATATTTTTTCTCGGTTTGACTCGAATTATCGGGTTGGTGCGGTTTATCGGTCTCCTCTGCACACCCTAGTTTAAGGTATACTTCTTTATATACACAACATCTCTCATGTTTTATTGATAGATCTGCCTGGAATATTACACCTTTACACTACAATTTGATGCAGAGGGAATTATGATAATATTCTTTTTTGTTTGATTAAAAGTTCCTTATTGTAATTGACTAAAAGGAATGTTATCAATCCAAAAGAAAACAAAGTGTAAGGTCAGCTAATTCAGCCACCATCCAATTTGCCAAAAAGAAAACAGCTGTAACGGTCCAATTTCCAGCCACTTTTGGTATGTGAGAATGTGACAAATTGACCGATCTTTTTCCTTGTGCTAAGCTGAATGATTTTCCGCCAATTATTGCAAAGTACGTTATAAAACAAAAGGCTTTTGCTTCTCTTTGTCAAAGATTTTAAAAAGACAAAAAAACAGAAGAATGCTGTTGACAAAATTCCCCAATTTATTAGTCTTGCAGACCGTTAAGTAATATCTTAAACAATCCTAAGTTCCAAACCCCACCTCTTCGATTTAATAAGAGTATCTTTTAAAACTTACATCACGTTTCTATATATATATATANGTCTTTTTTGGGACTTAGAATTTAATATAATCTTCTAAATAAATTATTTTGCCACTTCAATTTAGATGCTTTATGATGCATATTACCATATTAGACATTTGAAATTAGATATAGTGTTGATATTTGGTCACAAATACTTAAAATATAGATATTACTAAAAAAATTGTTGGTCACAATATATTTTAGGAGTTCTTTATATGATAAAATCCTTTTTACCTGGTGTGGCAGTAAACTTTCTCCTTTCTTGATTAGTTTTAAATACTTGCGTTCTTTGTGATTTTTCTCATAGAACAAAACAAGGGAAAGGAACTGTATTTTATTTCGCTATCTTCCTTCATCTTTCTAACTTTTTTCTATTTCCATTCCCTTATGTAGTTTTCATAGAAGCAAAAATCTGAGACTTTGATGCCATAGACTTGGCGAAGTCTAGTGCAACTATATTAACTTGACCAAATTCTGAGTGTGAGATTTCCCTTGAAGCCGAACTCAAAATAGACCATTTTTAGGAGTATTTAAATTGGCATACAATATTAATATGGGCTCTACAAAAGTACCTGACTTATACGTCTGGCAGAAAAAGTAAAAATATCATCAGTACTGAATTAGCCAAAATTTTCAACTAAAAAACTTCGGACAATTCATGATATTTTTGTCCTAAAAAATTAAACTAAAAAACTAAAATTCAGGATACACAAGCTAGGTCCTAAATAGCGGCCCTTCAAAGAGGCTACCTAATGTCATTTCTACAAAGCAATACGTCGGAGTCGGAGGTATAAAAAGTATAATTAGAAAAAACAAAGAGTGAGGTAAATCACTTTAGTATCCAAAAACGAGAAAAGAAACGTGAGAAAATTCTTTATATGTTCTATACACCTAAGGGTGTGACCTAATGCTTCAACAACTGTAATTTATTTTCAAGTGGCAATAAAATCGTGATTCGATTTGATTTTTTTTTTTTTAATAAAAAGAGTGTGACCTAATGATCAATAAAGTAGGTAGAGAATTATAAAATCTCAGGTTCAAATCCCAACGGAGAATAAGAACACTAGGTGATTCACTCTATCTGTCCATATCTTGATGGATAAAGTTACCAAATACCTATGCCGGTGGGATGTAACAGGTACCCTGTGAAATAGTTGAGGGCACGTGAGAAAATTCTGGAACAAACAAGAAACTGGTACCTCAATAATTTATTAGTAGCTAATAAGACTCAGTTTAGGAAGGCTAAAACGAATGCTACTAGACCATTCTTTCCTTTATTCATTTCATTTTTAATTTACCTTTGTTCTACAAAAAGGCCCAGAGAAGGAACCCGAAGGCCCAAAAGCATGGTGTGGAACTATGGATGAAGCTATACTTTTCCAGCTTATTACGGTATTACCATCACTATAAGACCACAATTTCTTGGACAATTCAACAGCTAGGCTTTCTAATAGTGTCATAACTTGTTTAATCATAGAGGCATACGGCAAAAATGAGGTAATGAATAGACTCAAAAATAGCAGAACTAATAGGCAATAGCATGAAAAATTCAGGAAGTCTAAATCTTTGTTTTCCTTTATATTTGTCATTGGTTAGAGAGCTACTTTCTATGTTTACACAATCATAGAAAAGCTACATCATCCTATACAAACCACCACCCTCCCCGATCACACATCGGGGAAGAGAAGGGGTGAAATGAGAGGTTTAAAAAAATTGTGCAATAAGTTCTACATCACAAAAAACAAACCATATCACGAAGGATCACATTAGAACCACATAAATAGTAATCACAAACTTGAAATGGAAAGAATCAAGCTCACCAACTTGTAAGTTCAAAGTCCAGATTGGCACCTTTGAGATTGCATTGAGGTGTTAGCTTTGCTATGATTCTCATGCACGACTATGTGAGTGGTATTCTCACATACACTGTTGGTTTGATTCGAGTACACAACTTTCTTCATGTACGGTTATCAGAAAAAGATCTGGTTCCATATCTCATGTTTTCCAAACTCGGACTGTGCTATCTACAGAAGAAGTTATCATGCAGCTTTCTTTCGGATGATAACTTACGCTAGTTACCTGCAATGGAGAAGCAACTATTTGATCTCTTCATGCATTAAAATTACTCCAAATTATTTAAGCTTTTCTATCATTCCTATAGCACGTTGGACCACTTGAGATGAGTGTGAACATGTAACACCTGAAAATCTTATGCACAATGTAACCATTTAATCAAGTTTCTTCAGGTCAGAAAGCTTCTACCATGGGATCGAGAAATCATCAGACTGAACTTTGAATATACTGATCAGGAAGAAGGTTAAGAAAGCAGTAATGCATGATTATATTTCATATATTAGCCAGAAGGGACTTTCTTTCTACTTTCAGTATGTGGGCTTGTCCCATATTTGCAGGATAAAAACTTATTGACTTGTCGACCAGAAAACTTCAACCAAAAGTAAGAAGATGGTGACCAAGAATTTATGAGGATCAAAGGATAACCAAGTATAGAGTATTTTATGCCAAATACAGTACACAATACACAGCATGCTGCCATTGAAATGGATGGAGCTAACTGAGGGCCACATGTAGGGGCATACAGATTTAGGTGCCTATCTGCAAGTATATATTGGATAAAGGACATCAGAAGCACTCAAAACTTCTATCTCTAAAGCCTATATCTTTTTTTAATTTTTACCCTTCTCTATTCTTTTGTAGTGGGTGATCTACCTTACGATGCTGAACCAACTCTTTCACCTCTTTCGGTAAGAATAGCTTGAGTAAGAATATCTAACACGTCAACATATCCTTAATGAAGCAGACCAAATAGGCTCTTTTAAAAAAAATTAACAATTGCCTACTCAATTAATGTTTTAAGCTTTTGAATTCCTAAATCCATTAACAAAACAGAAAGGAACAAAAGCTACAAATGACTTCCTTTTCTCCTTTGCTATAAACAAAGTTTATATTTTTGGAATAGCTGGGATGTTGTTGGAAGGTGCTTTTGTGATTTGAACAATTACAGCAACAACAACCAAGCCTCAACCCCAAACTCAAGTTTGGGTCGGCTATATGAATCCTTAGTTCCTTACTGATCAAACTTTCCATTTAAGCTCATATCAGCCAATATTATATTGTGATATGAATTATCAAAAGAAAAATTATTCTTCTAAAGGGCTCTAACAATTTACTAGAAGTGAATGATTAAGATGAAGGCATACAAGGCTATCTGGTGTACTACAAAAAAAAAAAAAAAAAAAAAAAAAAAAAAAAAAAAAAAAAATGTAATCCCACAGGCGGGGTCTGGGAAGGGTAGTGTGTACCTTCCCCCTACCTTGAGGAAAGTAGAAAGGCTATTTCCGGTAGACCCTATCTGGTGTAACAGAAGTAAATAGCGCAAAGAATAGAATAAGCCCCAATGAGGAGATTAAATTGATTTTTCCTAACTAGCCACGTTTGGGATTAAATTGCTATTTCCTAATTAATCAGGTGCGGGATCCTACAGGAAATAGAATATGTTGTGTAGCTAGATGCATCAACAATAATACTTTACCACTAAATCATGAGCTCGGAAGCTGGACACAACTGACGCGTCGACCAGATCCCAGAAGTAAATATAGCCATCTTCCGAGCCGCCAGCCACATTTGCATCACTGTTTGTAAGGCAGCAATCTGTTTTAAAAGACTGCAAGGAGAAAACAGTACAACAGAATAAGCTAGGGGCTATTACACCACTTTACATGGAAAGTAGACAAAATCAAGAAAAGCAAAAGGAGAACCGCCAAAGTGCCAAAGCCGGGAATGGACCTTTAAGAAAACAGTTCCTATTTATTTATTTATTTATTTTACTTTTTGTAACAGATAGAAGAAATGATTGCTATAAGAACAATAGACCACCACTCAGAACCAGGTTTCCATCCTAACCTTGCAAATATGGCCCTTATATTCTTGCAATAGTTCGCCACTAGACCTGTCAAAAGCAATTAAAAACAAGATGGTATGAATAACAAGGGTTACCAAAAGGCAAAGGAACAAGATGACAGACTTGCAAAAGAAATTACCTATCCAGAAGTCGAACGGTTGAATCTAAGCAACTTGCTAATATACAGTTGCCATCATTTGAAAGAGAGATACAGTTGACAGGCTGCCCAAAATTATCAGATATCTCTCTACAGTAAAAATATACATTACATTAACTAACAATCCTTTTCGAATATAACATCCCAGAGCAGAAATGTGAAAGGAAATTTGCAATTTCAACATACAGGCAGTACATACCTACCAACTCTGATGTCAAATGTTCGAACAGTTCCGTCAACGCTTCCAGCAATTATCTCAGTTTTTGTGAGACAAATAGACATGACACTATCCAGAAAGGTATCAATGATCTGCAAATTTAACAAAACAGAAGCTCAAATATGTGTTTCGTTAAAAGACCAAAGAAAAAGAGCTCAATTCTTAGCCAGCAAATAGAAGGTGGCCACCAAGAGCCTTGTAATAAAGGAGGAAAATTTGTTCGACACCCAAAAAGTAGGCTAATTTAATAGTCCTTTGTTCAATTTCTCATGGCGACAAATTTTCGTCACTATGTTCCTTTGTACATTTCGTGGAATCTGGCATATCTTGACCAAATCCATCCATCCATCCAGAGGCGGATCCAGGATTTCAAGAGGATGAGTGCACTATTGTGAAAAGGTGGATATAGAATTTACATTGGACCAGTTTAACTTTAGGTTCTTAGCATGAACCCATTACACTTTTGAAAATATAGTATCAAAATTATATTCCTTTTAAATTGATAAGGATTTTCACATATATATCTATAATCCGTGTTGAAAACAAGACCGTCTGGAGCGAGATTTGAACCGTCAATTTCACTTGTAGAGGTTCACCCAATAATTATTGTACCATAGGAGTCTTTGAGCTTGGGTGCACACACATATATCTAAGTAAGTTTAAATAGATATAACATTGTTATACATGGTTTTAGAAGAGGAGCATGAGTTCACGTGAACCCACATCTCACTCACTCTCAGTTTTCCTTGTTCACGTGAACCCACATCTCAGTTTTCCTTGTTCCCATTTGATTACATGTGGAGCGTTGAAACTGAAAATAGTCCATGGACTGGATCTTATACTACATTCTGCATTGAGTGTGGAGTGTTGAAACTGAAAATAGTCCATGGACTGTATCTTATACTACATTATGCATTGAGTTTTTTTTCCGAACCGTCCTACCAGTTAAAGATCAAGTAGTTTTTGTTTCTTCCTGTAATGTTTTACTTCTAAATTAAGTTAAAAAGTAGATTAGTTGAGGAACAGAGTATTAACATAATCCAATTTGAAGATGTGTTCTTTTTTTTTTTTCCCGACTTCCTGTGCTGGTCCCTGCAGTGTTACAGGGCACTGAAGTAGAAGAGATAATAATCTTCCAAGGGCAGCAATGGATGGGTGTTTTTGAGGTTCAATTATGGAACAAGTCCTTCCTTCCATCTGAAACACTTGAAGAGATCAAAGCGCCGTTTACAACTCAACAACCATCCTCAAATCACATCGGCCTACACATGATATTTAACAAGAAAAGATTTTACACTTCATTGTCCACTCAATTTATTTCCTCAGATCTAAACTTATTTGGTTTAGCTGAAGTTTGATCCTAACTTTCTAGTTCTACTGAGAATGTTTACCTAGATAGATCTTGCAAATCAAAGAGGAATTTATTCACCTGGATTGGTTCAGTGCTATGAGATCTGCAATCCCAAACACGCAATGATTTATCATATCCTGCTGATACTACAACAGAAGCATACTCATTAAACTTCACAGCATTCACCTGGCAGAGATGGAAGAAGACAAAACTGTTACCCAACCAGTGGATGCACTGCTGAATCATTTAGATGCAAGGTAGAACAATTAGGGATTATGNCAATTAGAGATTATGCTTTAAAATCAAGATACTGGCTTCTAGCAAAACCTACCAAAATAGCCTCTCTTTAAAAACCTGAAGGGCTCTTTTTCTTACAAGTACTCTGAGCTAAATTAAGGTGCTGATACACAATCACATTAGTTTGATTTAGAATTGTGCATTATAAGATCATACATTAAGATAGTGAAACAAACACTTATCAGAACTGCCGCTGAAAGGTTCAAAAAAGGTTACAGAAAAATGACCTCCAAGGCCCCAATCACGAAGGAAATGCCAATAGGAAAAGGTATGAGTATAATTGAAACAAATACGGGCCAGATTTGCTGTTGTTGCTAGAACTTGAAAAGCACAAAAGAACCCATTCACCAGGATTCACCCTAGAACTTGAAAAGCACAAAGAACCCATTCACAAGGATTAACCCAAAGTTGAGGCTTTGAAGCATCCATAAAAGTAAAATAGAGCTTTACAAAAACATAAATATGAATTACAAGCTCTTGAAAAAGTAATGGTTATAAAGTAAAAGAATTCCAAATAGAGGATACTAGTAACAACTTGATTCTTCAAGGCAAACAAGATATACAATTTCTGTTTTTTTAATAAAGTTAGCAAACACGAATCAAACAAAAGAGGTAATCATCAAATTCTTTTATTGTGAGATACAGGATGATAGAATAGCTATAGCTTCAATACCTTCAAATTAATAGCCAAATATATACCTGAATACCTAAAAGAATTTCTAGTCAGCCATTTTAACAAAATGCTGGTTTTCTTTCTATTCATGTACATATTCTACATTGATATGTAGGAAGCTTAAGACTGTCAAAAAGTGCAGCATAAATTTGTAGATGTATTGTCTTCTTGACTATTTTTTGTTGTCTACGTACTAGGCCAGATTCGAATTTCAGATTCTTATTTAAAGTTCATGCTAACCAAAGCAAGAAGCAGTGCTGAATAAGACCAAGCATGATTAAGACTTCAATACTAAAAGTAATCAAGAAAGGACCACATTAAATGTGATCCAGTTGTGGAAGTCTCCACAGCGAAATGAAATTGAAATTTGATCACAAACATAATAACAAACATATCAAAGCACACACAAAAGAGTGGAATCTTAAAACAGTAAGATAAATATACTCCTGGGCCATGAACCTTTGACATTTTACCACCTGTTTACATTGAATAACTTAGAACACACAGATTATCAAGAACTTTAACCCTATTTGACATCGGCTTCATTTATGATGGTGTAAATGTTTTCAGATGTGTTTTACCCCTTCCAAGAACCTTCTACAACTTAGTTGCCTTATTTGGACAATCTCTTTGAACGAAGAAACTATTTTTTTATGAAGTAATGAAGACACTATTATTATTATAATTATCATTTCGATAAGTTGAGTGAAGAAACTATTACACCACGACAAGGATAGTGATTCACATTTCCAGTGGTAGTTATTGCGTGCTTGCTCTTAATAGAATTCATACTAAGACTCGTCTTCAGTAATCACCATTACCACCACTAAGCATTGCAATGGACCATCAGAATTATCAGCTACAAATTAACACAATCTTCTACAGCTAATCCTATCATCAGCAATTCACTGTCACCACTCCATCACCGCCTAGTATAACTTTAATGCCAACCTATATTTCCTGAAACCGCCACAATACAATCCCACCCTGCACCCCCTTCTTTTTTAACAGATTCCTTCTTAAGGGATTTACCTGTAAATTGTTTCAATGGTTATACCTGATACTTTCTCAGAAAATGTTTGTGAAAAAGATCGGCCTCCATATAGTATACTCATTTGAACAGACCTTCGAGTATTATACTCATTAAAATTTCCAACAAAGCTTTCTTTGCATTCTAAATTAGGAATAAGAATCAACCTCACTGTCATGGCCACGAAATTTGCGAATTACACGACCTGTTGATACATCCCAATAAAATACTTGTCGATCGCCACCACATGAACAAAGTTTTGAATTATCCCTACAATATTAAAACAGTAGAAACATGCGAACCATCAAAAATTTGCATCACCAAAACGTCTTTGGAATCAGGCCAAACGAATGATAAAAATAAACCATAAAAGCTAAAATCTAGGGACTTGAATACTTGATTATACAACAGGAGATAATATCCAACATAAACATATAAATGCATGCATGATCTATTGTTATTTTTCTACAAGTGTGCATGATATACAACTATTTACTACTCTTAACTCAAAATGTTGTTCTTTGCATTGACTTCTCCCTTTTTAATCAGTAGATTGTCTTTTCTCTTTTATTCATTATCAAATCACCAGTTGACAAAGACAGAAACGTATAGCACTTAGAAATTTAAGCTTTATACCAGGTTCTAGTTGAAAAGTTGAAAGTCCTGGGTAACAAAAGGTTCAAGTGCTTCTTTTGGAGTAGGAATCTGGAAGCACATGCACTCATTCGGAGCAACTTTAATGAAGTTCTGGTTTCTCACCTGGAAATGTTAGGAAAATTAGATTTTGGGAAGATGCTTGGTTGGGGCACTCCCCTTTAAAAGACTTATTTCATGAGACTTACATCATATCCTCTCTACATAGTGCTGTGATAGCTGAGTTATCTACTGCTCAAGGGCGGGGTCTCTTCTCAGAAGAAACTTGAATGATTAGGAAGTACAAAGTACATGTCAACTTCTACATTTGCTTGGTAACACTAACACCTCTCTGAACCAATTAAGGATTGATTCCATTACCTGGAGGGTTAAAAAAATGGTATTTATTCGATTAAATCATGCTAAAAGTGGCTATCCTCTTTTGACAATAGAGATTTTGGCCATGGAAGAAGATTTGGCACAACACAATGCCCCTGAAGGTATCTTGTTTAACTTGGTTAGTGGTTAGAGAAGCCTGCCTCACTCAAATAAACCTTATGTGGTCTCCAACTTTGTAGCAGATGCCCTCGTTCGCGAAGAACATCCTGAAGATGTCGGTAATCTGTTCTTGCATTGTAAGGTCACTCAGATGCTGTGGATCATGTTCTTTGGTATTTTGGGAGTAGCTTGGCCTATGCAAAACTCCACTGTGGAGTTTTTGAAGAGTTAGAACAGATAGAGGCTAAGCATTCAATCAAAAAAAAAACCTAGAACATGATTCCCATTGCAATTTAGTGGACGATTTGGACGGCAAAAACTACAGAACTTTTTTTTTTCTGTGAAAGAAGAAACTACAGAGTTTTTGAAGGCAGATCAACAAATACACTTAGCCTTAAGTTGAGAAATCTTTCTTTGCTCTTTTTTTGGGTGCTATCTGATCTTCATAAAAGATAAAGATGGGGATCTTAACAATTTGTAATTATGTTTAGACGCACTACTTAGTGCTGTGCTTTGCTTTTGTTACTGATACAAAAAAGTTTATCTTTTCACCAAGTCTGGAAGCAAGATGAAACAGCAACTCATATTCTATCTTCAGGTGCTGAACCTGCCACACTCTGTCTAAGATATTTACTCACAGGTTTCACCTAAATATTAATCTAAACAGGAATAAAACTAAGTCTCAGGTTTTCCTCACCAGCTCTTGTAAAACATCCATGGATCTTCTTATGCATTAACACTGAGCTTGATTGGAGTAAATGAGGAAGGGTGGAAGGAGATCTATTTCTTTTTGGTGCGCCGACTACTTGTATAGATTATTGGGAGGCTTTTGTAAGAACCATATATTGGTGTAGGTTCTTTCTTTTTTGGTATATTGCTTCTATAGGTAAAAGAGGAGGATAAGTGAATATGTGATGGATTGGATACCTTTCTATATTCAGCTTTTTTCAACCCTCCAAAGGTGGATATGAGGGAAGAAGTATATACTTCCTCGATCCAAATACAATGTCAATTTATTTTTTCCCGGGAAGATGGAAACAGTATTTCAATGTCAACATTTCATCTTTTAGTTCGTATCAGAATTATGTCCACTTTTGCTAGAATAAAGTATTCACATAATCACATGTAATATAATCCTAAAAGGTTTTCCGAGGGAAACCCTTTAATAATCGTCCAGACATTTTATTTTTCTCTACTTTGTACTACAGAACCAAAAAAAATGTGATTATTCACATTCTCCAGCTGAACAAATTATGATTCCTTTCTCTCCATTTTTTTTAAATTGCTTTTTGTACGGTTAAACTGACCTTGATCAAGAATATATTCAACAAAATAAGCAATTCAAAAGAAAGTTTATATATTATACTAATTCCCAGCCTAGTCACAACATACAGATATTGAAAAAAAATTAAGAGAGAAGAAGAAAAGGAAAGGGAGAAGAATGCTACTGAGTGACGTGGACATCGCGGACTTCACGGCCGTGAGCTTTGTAAGTTTTGATGTGAATTCCACGGTGAGGATTCCATAGCCGGATGGTACGGTCCTTGCCGCAGCTCAAGATGTACTCACCATTGCTGTTGAACCTCGCCGCTAATACAGCTCCGGCGTGCCCTTCCAGCACGTGTACCTTTTGCTTTGGCAATTGTACAGCGGTCATCTTTGCCGTTAACGACAATGGAGTTTTTCAGTTTCGCGCAGGAGCTCTTTTGATCTATAGGAATTTGTTTGTTGTTCAATAATGGGCTATAAGCCCAATAAGACTTTGGGGCTAGCTTGATGAAAGCCCAACAATCTAATTGATGAGAGCCCACATTTTATAAAATTACCTAAATAGCCGTTAACCCAACCACTTAAACTAAAAATAATCGATGAATGTATAATTTATGTATAATATATGTAATCATATATAATTTATATATACCGGCTAAAAAAATTAGCTCTGCATTCAGTAGGCTTTTTATGTAAAAATTTCAAAATTTTATATACTCCCTCCGTTCTCTTTTAGTTGTCAAGTATTCTAAAAATTAATTTTCATTTTTACTTATCACTTTTCGCATCAAGAGAAAAATAATTTATATTTTCTATTTTGCCCTTAGCATTAATTACTCATTCCAAACTATTTTCCAAATCCATTATGACTATACACCAATTAATGTGTGTATCATGGTAAATTATGCACTTTATTTTTTATTTTTTAAAGGGTGTGCAAAGTCAATAGTGAACAAGTAAAAATGAACTGAGGGAGTATATTTTTTTTGTATACTTCCTAACATATGTAATCCCCCAACTAGAGGAAATATCACCCTTTAACACGCACTTGTTAAACAAACACAAAACACAAGCACTTGAGGCAAAATAGGATGTCTTAGGTCATTACCGAGTAATAGGACTTCTCATTCAATGTTTACTTAATTATAGCATCCCATAATCTTCTTCCATGGCTTTTGGTGCGACGCAATTACACCAAATAATACATAAGTTTCAAAATGTCATTTACTCAAAGAGTCCTCTCCTCTCCCCCGAAACCCCTATAAAATCCCCTATTTTACATCCAACATTATATTCTTCATATTTTCCTTCTGAAAAATATAATACACATCCATTAATTCATTTTTTTTCAACAATGGCTTTGAAATATTGCAGTGTCTTCTTAATCATACTTGTTCAATGACAGGTTTAAGCCCAGTTAAATCAGCTAGAGAAAGACCAATACTAGCAAGACTTGACCAAGCAGATGAAGGAAGTATACTAGAGTGTTGGAATGCACTTGGGGAGATAAAATCTTGCACAAATGAAATAGTTGCTTATTTCACAATTGGCACAATTGATATTGACTTACCTTGTTGTCAAGCCATTTCTGTCATTACACATCATTGTTGGCCTGCTATGCTTAGTACCCTTGGGTTCACTCCTGAACAAACAAATATTTTGAGAGGTTATTGTGATGCTTCTAATTCTGCAACTACTAATGTTTCTTCTAATTCTAGTTCTGCTCCTTCTCCATTGGTGCTGCCTTTGGACATAAAGAGTGATTAGGGAGTCTCAAATTAAGGACCATGTTCTTACCATGGTTTGGATGCCAATGAGTTTTTGTTGAGAAAATCTTGTATTTTTCCCTAGCTCCAATATATTATGGCTGTTAATTAATTATGTGAAATTATGGTGCTATCTCGTTTTTCACAATAAATTTGGTTTACTATCTCGGAGATAAAAATGTAGTAACTGATAAAATTTGATATGCACGTCTTGCCTCGTGTCTTTCTTATCAATCATCGAATTTGTCATTTTTCAAATACTCCAATGTTACTCAGAAATTCATTTACACCCACTGTTGGTGTAGTAAAAAAAAGTATGCTATTACCATAATCTAACCTGCAGATATAAAATATTATTTGTCTTATTTTTTTGCGGGTTGGCTTCTTTTATTATTTTATTTATTATGAATAAGAAGTTACTTATAATTACTTTTCTAACTTGAAAGACTGAGCTTTTTGCACACTCAATATTTAGAAGGTAAAACACATGTTAGTTATACTACAAGTACTAATTACACCCTCTTAGAGTAAAAAGGTATACAGACCAACCATCGGCAAGTGAAGACAATTCCAACATGCACCAATTTGCCCCAACAATTGGAAACTAAAGATTATGATACAATTGAAGACGATGATAACAACAACGGCCCAGTGTAATCTCACTAGTGCGGTCTGGGGAGGATAATGTGTACGCATACTTTATTCTTTCCGGAAGGGCAGAGAGGCTGTTTTCGGGAGACCCTCAGCTCAAGAAGGTAAAAAGAGACGATATATTAATACCATCATAAAATCATAGAAAAAATAACAGCATCATAAGAAACACGAAATAGATGGAAAGTACAACAATAACCATTTGACTCAAAAGATATCGAAACCTTTTTGAACAAATCAATCAAAAAAAGTGAAGGGGTAATCTTAGTCAGACTTAATAAATTCTAGATCAAAGAGCTAATAGTATAGATAATACATAGGGTGAAAGAAATATAGTCGATCTTTATTGAAATTCAACATTGTGACTCCCATCGATCGATGGAGGAAATATCTTTACATGTTCTTCTGTAGATTACTTCTTTGATTAAAAGAAAAGAGCTTGTAAGAGAGAAAAGGGGAGGAGACCGCCCCTTTTCAGGAGTTTTTTCCACTATATATAGTCGGGCATCCTTGCCATTTACTTGGTCCGACGTTCTCTCGCACCAGGTGTGCCTTGGTAGTTCTTTTACACATTGCTCCTTATGGCTCGACGGGTGTCGAGAACGAGATGTAGAGTGGGCTATGTTATATTTTACTACCCGGCCACTTAGACAGGACGTTGGTTAGCTTGGCTGTGACAGTCAAATTTTGACCAATACAGCTAGTCCCTCCATCTGTCGGGGTCGTTCCCTGTCGGGCCCGGCAGACGGATCATGATTGCTATGAATTCGGACGAAATCTGACTTCTCGTTCCTTAGTCACGTTACTTGGGTTTTAGGTTTGGTGGCGACGTTCTTTCGATACCCGTGAATCGTTGTGTCTGTTTCGGAGCCGAAATGTTGTTTGGCATCGAAGCGTTATTTCGTGGTTACCGCCATTATGACACACGTTCCTGGGGAATTGAAACATTTTGTGCCCTATCAGGTTCGATTAGCGACTCTTGGGTTTCGTACTCAGGGGATTTATGTCTCTTATAAATAGAAGGAACTTATCGTTCGATTGACACACATCTTTGCCTTTTACTTGAAAGAATTATGCAAATATACTTTTTTCCCGACATTCCAAGCTTTCGTTTGCCCATAGTTGACTGAAAATTTTCATCCTTTCTTTTCGTTGTCTTTTTGCCGCATCTTCTGGACAAAATGGCTGGTGATTTCTCTCGCACAGATCTCCCTGTCACAATTCCGGTACCGGAAAATGCTGCTCAGGCCACTAGAGGGGCAGATGCGGTGGAAGACGAGGAAGTCCCGTCGATAGTTGAGATTTCGCCTCGCCCTGGGAGAGAATTGACTGACTTCAATAGTCGTGTCGGGGTGGAGCCGGAGCCTGTCCCTTCTGTTATGAGAGAAGAAGGCATTGCAGAATTGAAAACCAGATGGGGGATCCCCGGCTACGTCGACATGCGGCCGGCGGTATGAAACGATATAGTTCATTTTGACCGTCCTGGGTACTGTGTCTTTTACGCCTACCCCTTCCTTGTTGGGTACACACTTCATCTCCCTCTCCTGGTGGTAGACTTCTGCCATTTTTATGAGGTATACCTCTCCCAACTGTCACCGTACCTATATAAGTTGTTCCTTATGTTGCTCAAGTTTGCAGAACTCACCGGTCGTGAGGTCACTTTGGATCATCTGCTCAGTATCTTCGCCCTTCAACTTATCTAGTGGTGAAAATGGACGGCAGGACTAACCGTCGTTTTTATGAGAATTATTTATATGTGCGAACTGAGCACATTGTGGCAGATCCGACGGGATTCCCTGAGAAATGGAACTTTGCACGTAAGTCTCATGTTTCTAGTCGGAGATATACCCGACCGTTTTACGTCACAGTACTAAACCCTGTTATGTCCTTGCAGGTGAGAAATTACTGCCTCCACCTGTCAAAAATATCCGTGAGTCAACGAACGTTATTCTCCCTCATACGGCGGGGGTCCGCACGTGGGCGGCCTTTTATGACAAGTATGGGCGCAGGCCCCTTTCTGGTAAGATGTCGTTTCCGTTCATCGTTTTTCTCTTTTCCCTCTTTGTATTTAATTCCTTATGTGTTGCTTGTTGGTGTCAGGGAGAGTGCGGAGAGTGAGGGCTCCCCCATTAGCTTTCTGGCAGCCAGCCTCATCTACTCGCCTTATCGCGGTACCCACCGCCAGGCCTTCATCGAGGGATGCTTCAGTTGAGTCTGCGACCGTGGTTACTCCCGCGAGGTCCGCTTCTCAGGCCGAAGTTCTAACCCGTGTCACTCGCCCGACGGGTGAATCTTCACCTACTGGGAAGAAGAAGGGCCATCAAAAAGATGGCGAGTGGAGTTTAAGACAGCGCCCCAACAGTGATTCATCTAGCCGACTCTCCTACGACAGGATCTGGAGAAGGGGTTGTCATGGCTCCCCCCGTAGGGACGGAACCAGCCGTTGCCTCGGCTCAATCAGAGATTCCCACCATTGTCAGTGGTCAGCAACCTGTCGTGGCAGAAGGTTAGACTTCTAGGGCCACCATTGTAATTTCGGACGTACCCTCGTCCTCCGTAGTTGGTCGTGCTTCCTCTTCAGTTTCTAAAAGAGGAAAAGGCGTGGTGGTCGATGATTATAAATCCGAATCGGACCTCGACCCCGATGATGTCAGGATGTTTGAGGAGGGCCTTACTCACTTGGTGGTTCGTGCGAGAGGCTCGTCCCGTATTCTTAAGATCCCTTCGGATGTCAATCTCTTGGGGGAAATGGAGGATATGGTGCTGCAGTTCAGCATGCTATGCTCCACAGTCGAGAACGCGGCCCTTCGGACCGTTCTCGATGCTGACTTGATGGACGAGGTGGCCGCTATGGTCTTAAGGGTATGTTACGCTTACTTTCATTTTCCTTCATCTTTCTTGATGATAAGATTCTAACCCGTCCTTTCATTTTTTTAGACGTACATGGTGGAAGTGGAGAGCATTCGCATGGCCAACATTCGGGCCAAGATTTTCTTGAAGATGTTGGAGAAATATCGTCGCTACCGTAACAAGTGTCGTGAGATGCATGAGCGGCTGAAGGAAAACCCCGGTAATCGGGCTCTTGGTTAGGAGTTAGAGAAAAGGGACCGGAAATTGATGCAGGCTATCTGCAGCAAGAGTGTGCTTGAGGAGCAACTTCGAATAAAGGAAGAGGAGCTCGAGTTGGGCAAGGGGGTTACCGCAGAGTGCGAGCATCTGCAGGAGAAATTGAGGTCAATGCAGTCGGAGATGGATCATAACTTGATCAAGGTCGAGGCGCTGAGCGCGGAATGGATGGGGAAATTGGCTGGCTGGAGGACAAGGTTGCTGGGTTGGAGAGCATCGAGAGTGCTTGGTCCGCGACTTTGTCGAGGGCGGCGGCCCTAGAGAACACCATCCGCGTCGTCCAGTCCGAGCAGGAGTCGGAGAGAGCGACGACCACCCTTATGGAGGCAAGGCTTGAGGAGCGCATTAGCGAGATTAGCCGAGAGGCATCGGTTCTGGGAGATCGGGTCACAGCACTGGAGGTAGAAAATGAGCGATTGTTGGCTTAGATTGAATCTTCCTCCACCATTGTTCCCCGTCATATGCACGAGCTTTGGGTTTACGCCGAAGCCCGGTGGGATATATACAAGAGTTTGTGAGAGGCGGGTAATGCGACTGAGGTTGTATATGAAGAGTTGGGGGAGGCTCACGTTAATTGCAGATATGACGCGATGACGCTAGAAGCCAATGGGGGCGCAGACGCTGAAGGAGAACTTCACGGAGATGACAGTGGAGAGGGTGGCGATGATGATGCAGAGTAGAGGGACAGTGATATTGATCTGTTTTCCGTTTGTTATTTTCTTTCCCATTTTTCGTTCGTAGTCGATTGTCGTAGTTCCTTTTTTTTGTGTTGCTGACTTGGGACTTATGTAATCCGCGACCATTTGCGTGGAGACTTTGTATAAAGAAGAATTTTTCATTGTTATTTGTCCTGTATTCTACCCTTGTTTTCGTTTCGCATGATTTCGGTGCGAGATAGATTTCTGCACAGCGAGTCCCAGATTTTTTGTAGTTTTTCTTTGGCGATGGCTTATGGTCTTAACAGATGTTCTCCGAAATATTAACTTGTCGTCGTTCGATCGAGATCGAACTTTTCTTTTTGGCGAAGGCTCTTGGCCTTGAAGGGTGTTATTTTGAGTTTATCGAAATAGTAACCCGTCATCGTTCGATTGAGGTCGAACTCTTCTTTTTGGCAAAGGCCCTTGGCCTTAAAGGGTGTTATTTCGAACTTATAGAAATAGTAACCCATCGTCGTTCGATCGAGGTCGAACTCTTCTTTTTTGGTGAAGGCCCTTGGTCTTAAAG